CCAGCAGCTCACCGGCAGGATTGCTGCTCTCAGTCGTTTCTTATCAAAGATAGCTGATCGAGCGGCTCCTTTCTTTCAGACCATTAAGAAGAGTAGAGGGTTCGTTTGGACCGAGGAATGTCAACGGTCTTTTGAGGGGTTAAAAGCATATCTCCTCTCCCCATTAGTGCTTTCGAAGCCAGAGCCCGGAGAGACCTTATTCCTATACTTAGGAATCTCTCCTCGGGCTGTGAGCTCGGTGGTTGTGAGGGAGGAGGAGGGCGCACAGCGACCTGTGTACTATGTGGCCCGAGTGCTGCGAGGGGCGGAGTTGAGATATACCAACATGGAGAAGACCATCTTTGCGGTAGTGTGTACAGTGAAAAAGCTCACCCCATATTTTCAAGCCCATCCGGTCCATGTGTTATCACAAATTCCCATCGGAACACTTCTTCGAAGCCCAAATGCCCCGTCACGGGTCAGCAAGTGGGGAGTGTTCCTGGGATCCTTTCAAATAGAGTTCAAGCCGCGACCGGCGATAAAGGGGCAAGCATTAGCAGATTTCGTGGTAGAATGCACTGCGAGGGAGGTAGAATCTAGTGGAGAAGAACCCGAAGGGAATTGGTGGACCGTGTACACCGATGGGTCATCCGCGACTGATGCTTCGGGGGGAGGTGTCGTGGCGATATCTCCGGAAGGGTTCAAGGCATACTACTCCGTGAGGTTCCGGTTTAAAGTCTCAAACAATGAGGCTGAGTATGAGGCACTGCTTTGCGGCTTAAGGTTGGTAGCCTCAATAAGAGCTGAGCGAATCCAAGTCCGGTGCGATTCCAAGCTAGTGGTAGGCCACGTCACTGGAGAATTTGAGGCCAAGGATGAATGAATGAAGAAGTATAGAGACACTGCCCTGGAGTTGCTTAAAGCATTCGGGGCGTACCGGATAGAGCAGGTCCCTCGGAAAGAGAACGCTGAGGCAGATATCTTGTCAAAGCTTGGTCCGGATTCCCCGGATCATATTAAGGCAATGACCCAGGAAGAAGAGCTGCTCAAGCCAAGCATCAGTCCCGGACAAGTGTTGATCATCACACTCAGAGAGGAGCCTGATTGGATTGATGAGATTACCATGTACATCCTTGACGGGTCGTTACCCATCGACCCAATCGCGGCAAAGGTGGTGAGGCGACGTGCACCCAGCTACACGCTGGAGTGCGGTCGGCTGTATAAACGATCGTACAATGGTACATTGTTGAGGTGCTTAAGAGCGGGCGAGGCACAGAAGTTAATGGAGGAAATCCATGAGG